AACAAATCTATACTATTAAGCAAGGACTTACTACTGTACTAGACAAATACTGGTCTAAAGAAAGTTCATGTACCAGTATTAATATCAGAAAAAAGGCAGAAATATGTTAGAAAGTATTGTAAGAAGAAAGAGGTTCTCAGGTTGGGTGCGGTGGCTCAAGCCTGTAATCCCAGCACTTTGGGAGGCCGAGGTGGGTGGATCGTGAGGTCAAGAGATTGAGATCATCCTGGCCAACATAGTGAAACCCCATCTCTACTAAAAATACAAAAATTAGCTGGGCGTGGTGGTGCATGCCTGTAGTCCCAGCTACTCGGGAGGCTGAGGCAGGAGAATTGCTTGAACCCAGGAGGCAGAGGTTGCAGTGAGCCAAGATCACGCCACTGTGCTCCAGCCTGGCAACACAGCGAGACTCCATCTCAAAAACAAAACAAAACAAACAAACAAACAAAACACAAAGAATAAAGAGGTTTGCTATTAGGTATAAAACAGTATTTCATGGTAGTTTTATTTTTCATTTCATTAATTTTAGTACCAGTGGAACCAAATATTTTTTGGAAGTAGTAGTTTACTAAGAAGTGGAGACTTGACTGATTTGCCTCTTAATTTTAAGGATTAATCATTTTTATTACAAATCTTTTCCACCCCAATCCTAGAGCTTTTATCTTAGTTTTATAGTTTCCATTGTTACAAATTTGAAATTTTTTTGTAATGGAACCTGGTTACCTTGTCATATCCATTTTTTTCCTTCAACTCACTACTTTTTCTAAAGTATTTTAAATTACAGACAGCATGACACACTATCACTAATACTTCCATATGCATCTCAAAAAAGATCATTTTCTTACATAGCAAAATATTATCATACCTAATACAATAAAATTAACAAGAACTATTATTATTTTTGAGACAGAGTCCTGCTGTGTCACCCAGGCTGGAGTGCAGTGGCGTGATCTTGGCTCACTGCAACCTCCACCTCTCGGGTTCAAGCAATTTTCCTGCCTCAGCCTCCTGAGTAGCTGGGACGACAGGCACCCGCCACCAGGCCCAGCTAATTTTTTGTATTTCTAGTAGAGATGGGGTTTCACTGTGTTAGCCAGGATGGTCTCAATCTCCTGGCCTCGTGATCCGCCTGCCCCGGAGAATTTTTTCATTATCTAATTTCCAGTCTACATTGAAATTTCCCCACATATCTCCCAATTTCCTTCACACATCTATGGCCAAACCAGTTTCCAAACTAGGACCATGTATTCCATTGGGGTGGTATGTATCTCAAATCTTTTAATTTGCAACAATATGTTTTTTAATAAGTCTTTTAAAATCTACGAGTCTTTGTTTTAATGATAATGATCTCCTGAGAGCCTGTGCCAGTGTCTTGTAACAGTTTCCACCTTCTGGATTTGCCTTTTCCAACCCTGTGTTGCTGTTAGCTTAATCCTTGTAATTCCTGTGAACTGAAAGTTACATCTAAAGGTATGATTAGATTCAAGTTCAAGTTTTTTCCCTTTTTAAGAAAGCAAAACTGCATAAGAGATGATGTTGGGTACTTCATGCTGAGACCAGAGACAAGCAATATCTTATCTCAGTGATTGCTAATTTCTTATGCTACTTGGGGTCATAAAATCCCCCTTTAAAAGTAGAGGTAATTACATTTATCACTTCTTTTTTTTTTTTTTTGAGACGGAGTCTCGCTCTGTTGCCCAGGTTGGGGTGCAGTGGCCAGATCTCAGCTCACTGCAAGCTCCGCCTCCCGGGTTTACACCATTCTCCTGCCTCAGCCTCCCGAGTAGCTGGGACTACAGGCGCCCGCCACCTCGCCTGGCTAGTTGTTTGTTTTTTTTTTTTTTTAGTAGAGACGGGGTTTCACCGTGTTAGCCAGGATGGTCTTGATCTCCTGACCTTGTGATCTGCCCGTCTCGGCCTCCCAAAGTGCTGGGATTACAGGCTTGAGCCACCGCGCCCGGCCTACTTCTTCTTTTATTGCTTCCAGAAATATCTTTCTGAAATTTTATCCACCAGAACTTACAGTGGTAAGTAAAATAAAGTATAGATTTGCTTTTTTCTTCCTACTGAAATCCAAGTATCCACAGTATTCATTTAAATGGTCTTGGTGGTTTATACAAATGTTTATATTTGTCAAAACTCATGGAATTATACCCTGGAAAAGGGTGAATTTTACTGTATGTCAATTATGCTTCAATAAATCTGACTTTTAAAAAATGGTCTCAGCTGGGTGCAGTGGCTCATGCCTATAATCCCAGCACTCTGGGAGGCCGAGGTGGGTGGATCACGAGGTCAGGAGTTCAAGACCAGCTTGACCAACATGGTGAAACCCCATCTCTACTAAAAATACAAAACGTTAGCCAGGCGTGGTGGTGCACACCTGTAATTCCAGCTACTCAGGAGGCTGAGGCAGGAGAATCGCTTGAACCCAGGAGGTAGAGGTTACAGTGAGCTAAGATCGTGCCATTGTACTCCAGTCTGGGTGACAGAGCCAGACTCCATCTCAAAAAAAAAAAAAAAAAAGAAAAGTTTCCACTTGAATAGTCAATTATTCAAAGAAGATACACAAATGGCCAATAAACACATGGAAAGATGCTACTAATCATTATTGAAATGCAAATCAAAACTACAATGAGGTGTCACTTCACACTCATCAGGATGGCTACTATCAAAAAAAAATAACAAGTGTTGGCAAGCATATGTAGAAATTGAAACCCTTGTGCACTATTGGTGGGAATGTCAAATGGTACAACCACTGTGGAAAACAGTATGGCAGTTCCTCAAAAAATTAAAAGTTGAATTACTGTATGATCTAATAATTCCACTTCTGGGTATATACCCAAAAGAACTGAAAGTAGGGTCCAGAAGTGACATTTGTATACCATTTATATATGACCACATTATTCACAATAGTGAAAATGTGAAAGCAACCCAAATGTCCATCAATAGATGGATAAGCAAAATGTGATGTGTACGGTAATGAATCTTATTCAACCTTAAAAACTACCAGAATTCTGATATATGCTACAGTGGTCCCCAACCTTTTTGGCACCATGGACCAGTTTCATGGAAGACAGTTTTTTCACAGACAGGAGTGGGGTGATGGTTTTGGGATGGAACTGTTCAACCTCAGATCATCAGGCATTAGATTCTCATAAGGAATGGGCAACCTAGATCCCTTGCATGGGGCAACCTAGATCCTTCTCATGGGCAGTTCAAAATAGGGTTTGGGGGTTGGGGACCCCTGGGCTGCAACACGGATGAACCTTGAGGACATTATAAGTGAAATGAGCCAAGTCACAAATAGATAAAAGCTGTATGATTCCACTTATATGAGGTACTTAGTAAAAAATTACAGAGACAGAAAGTAGAATGTTGGTTGTCAGGGGTTGGAGGATGTTGGGAAGAGAAGGTTATTGTTTAATGGGTAGTTTGTTTTGCAAAATGAGAAGATTTGTAGAGGTTGAAAGGTGGTGACGGTTGTACGTGAGTATACTTAACACCACTGAAACGTACACTTAAAAATGGTTAAGATAGTAAAAAATTTTTTTTTTTTTTTGAGACAGAGTCTTGCTCTGTTGGCCAGGCTGGAATGCAGTGGTGTGATCTTGACTCACTGCAAGCTCTGCCTCTTGGGTTCACGCCATTCTCCTGCCTCAGCCTCCCAAGTAGCTGGGACTACAGGTGCCTGCCACCAGACCCAGCTAATATTTTGTATTTTTAGTAGAGATGGGTTTCACCGTGTTAGCCAGTATGGTCTCGATCTCCTGACCTCATGATCCACCCATCTCGGCCTCCCAAAGTGCTGGGATTACAGGCGTGAGCCACCGTGTTCGGCCAAGACTGTAAATTTTATGTGTATTTTACAATTTTTAAAATGAAAAAAAGGGCTTTAGTCTTTTATCATTGTTTTATTACATTTGCTTTGCCAAGTAAGACATTCCTATATAATTTTAATGTTTTCTTCCATTAGTTAAAGTATGTTGTAATAACTGACACTTTCAGGTTTTTTAAACCTGGTACAGCAAGAGACTATTTCTCACTCCTCTTCCCCACTTGCATCCTTTGGCACATAAATTTATGTACTAGGTTCTGTAAATTATTTGCTTGGGATTGTGTGACTGGAGAAACATTTCCTACATTTTTCCAAGGCAGGCAGAGGCCAATTATACCACTACAGTAATTCCAAATTTTTGTTTCATTTAAATGTCCTCCACTATTGTTTCAGTAATTTTTATATATGTTCCTCTAGGCCCTTGCATGTGATATCCCTCCATTAAGTTTGTTTCCAAGAAAGCAATATTCTCAGTTACTTCTGAGACAGGTAATTTCTCTTTCCCTTATTTGTAAAGATATCTATTGCTGGGAGCACTGATTGGAATGGATTACCTCTACATTCTTCGCATTTGCAGCCTGCTTTTAGTTTTAGTTCCCAGACTTTTGGTCTCAAACACGCCTTTACACTAAAAAATTACCGGGGACCTCAAAGAGGGTGTACGTGAGTTATAATTATCAACATTTACTCAATTATAAATTAAAATTGATATTTCTAAGCGCAAGGAATACACATGCGCACATTCCATTAAACACCACTGCAATGGCGTCATCACATGTTATGTGATCACTGGAAATTACTATACGAACATTAGAGAATGAGAATGAAAAGGAAAATAGTTTGGACATGAACGGACCACCTTCTTGGGTCTCCAATCCACACCACCCCTTGCCCCCATTCCAGAAGTCCCAGTGTCAAGCTCTGAGAAGCGCCATCCGTCACAGGTTTTGGTCTTCCCTTCCAAAAGTCAGTACCTCTCCAAGCTGCCCATTCCCAGCAAAGATCTGGACGTCCGCTGCCCCTGGCAACAGCACCCTGCCCCCAGCACCCGGAAGTCGGAGCTGCGCACGCACGGCGGGCTTCCGATTTCCCGGCGTGCCCTAGGAGTGCGGCGTGGACGCGCGCGGGCCTAGAGACCCACGTGACCCGCAGGGCGGCCGAGGCGGGAAGCTGTGAGTGCGCGCGGTTGCGGGGTCGCGTTGCGGCTACTGCTTTGCGTCCCCAGCGGGCAGCCCCCGGCTGGTTCCCGCCTCCGCTCTCGCCACCGGCGGGAGAAGCAGCTAGTGTGGGAGGAAAGGCGCCATCTCCCGCCCCATCTCTCCCGCTCTTGGCCGGCCGGATCTTTTGGCTGTCCTGTGGCCTCGCTCCCCGCCCGGATCCTCCTGACCCTGAGATTCGTGGGTCTCACGTCCGGTGCACGCCCTGCTTCGGCCTCAGTTAAGCCTTTGTGGGCTCCAGGTCCCCGGTGAGATTAGAAACGTTTGCAAACATGTCCCGGATCGAAAAGATGAGCATTCTGGGCGTGCGGAGTTTTGGAATAGAGGACAAAGATAAGCAAATTATCACTTTCTTCAGCCCCCTTACAATTTTGGTTGGACCCAATGGGGCGGGAAAGACGGTAAGTCTTCAGTAGCCGCCTTCAGTTTACAGGTCGCTACATCTTTCGGAGAATAAAATGGGGAGTTCAGAACTCTCCTTAGGAAGAGAAGCGTCCGTAGGGCTCCACAGGTGTAGGCCCTTAAAGTGCCTCGGGGCGTGGCCTGTAGGCTACAGCGACCTTGGGAGTTAGCCTGAGGCAGTCCCTGAAGGCTGTCGGTGCCTGTCCTGGGGACAAGGTTTACTTAAGAATCCCACAAGACAGGGAGCTGTCGCAGCTCACTCAGAGTTCAGTTCCCACTGGATGCCCTTTGGTCTGTATTGATGTTTTTTAACGCTGTCTCCTTGCTTTCAAAGCATAGCATTCACTACCCAGTAGTTGTCCCATACAAGAATTCTTTTAAAAGTTATAAAGTGATGTATATATATATGTGACTAAAGAGTTTCCAGGTATGCCAACTGTCCAAGCATGATACATGGAAAATAAATGACTTAAAAATGTAACCGATATAGTGGCGCTTAACTTGGAAAACTTCTGTTCTTAAAACGCAGTCAACAATTTAAAGTTGGTGCACGACTGACTTATTTCTTTTAAAGCCCTGGGAATATTTAGAAATTTGAATGGAAAAAATAACAAAGAGGCATTTTGGTCAGAAATAGTGGCTTAAGAAAAAGCAAGACAATGTCAGTATAGCAGGGAGAAGAGTCTAAAGGAAGGATTTGCGAAGAGTGTAGAAAGAGAGAAAGTTGAGAATTGAATGTCAAACTTGTTTACTTCTGTTTTTGAAAAATGTTATTTGTTGAATGCTTGTTGTGTACTTAGCATTGTACTAAATACTAGCAGAAGGGAGAGTAGTACTGTGTAGTGTATATGAGGACTGGCTGCCTCAATACAAATTTTTTGCTTCGTTTGTTAGTTGACTGTTGGCGAGTGACCTCACTGCTCTGTGCCTTAGTTTTCTCATTCATAAAATGGAGATTAAAAATAGTTTCTACAGCTGGGCACGGAAGCTCACGCCTGTAATCCCAGCACTTTGGGAGGCCGAGGCGGGTGGATCACCTGAGGTCAGGAGTTCGAGACCAGCCTGGCCAACATGACGAAACCCCATCTTTAATAAAAATAAAAAATTAGCCAGGCATGGTGACACACGGCTGTAATCCCAGCTCCTGGGGAGGCTGAGGCGGGAGAATCGCTTGAACCCAGGAGGCGGAGGTTGCAGTGAGCCGAGATCATGCCATTGCACTCCACCAGCCTGGGTGACAGAGCAAGACTGTCTCAAAAAAAAAAAAAAAAAGAGTTTCTACAGGCTGGGCTCGGTGCCTGACGACTGTAATCCCAGCCCTTTGGGAGGCTGAGGCTGGAGGATTGCTTGAGCACAGGAGGTCAAGGCTGCAGTAAGCCATGATCATGGAGCTGCACTCTATCCTGGGCAGCAGAGTGAGACCCTGTCTCAAACAAACAAAAAGTTTTTACAGCCTAGAGTTAATGTGAGAATTAAATAAATATATGTAAGAGCGCTTAGTACAATTCAGTACTTAACTGTTAGCCATTCTTATTATTAAATTAGTTTAAAGGGTTTCAGTTGAAAATAATTATTTTTTTCCCAAGTAACAATTCTTCGTATTAGGATAACTTCTTAGTTATATAGCATTTCTGTGAACTTACAGCAATGATTCTTTAAACACTTAATCAAATCTTTATTACAGGTTTTATAATGTCAGATTTTATCTGTCTTTTATAGTTTCCATGATAAGTAATATTTTCATAATGAATTCATATTTTATGATAAACTTCTGTGATTCTCTTATAACGAAGTGATGTAATTTTCTATTTCTTCAGACCATCATTGAATGTCTAAAATATATTTGTACTGGAGATTTCCCTCCTGGAACCAAAGGAAATACATTTGTACATGATCCCAAGGTAATGGTGCTAGTACAATGTTGTATTTTTATAATTATAAAAATGATAGTAGCTTATTGTAGAAAACTTGGCATTGAAGAAGTATAAAGAGAGATGAAAGTCAGCCACACACAGTTTTAGCACCCAGTAATAATCATTGTTGACATTTTCATGTATTTTCCTCCTCCTTTAAATACTGTTTTATATAGCTGATGTCATACTCTTAATTTTGTATGCTGGGTTCTTTTTCCCCCACTAACCGTATCATGAAGTCCCATGTCATTAAAAAACTATCATCTGGGTCTTTGGTATGTGAGTGCTTCTTTTGATCTTTATACTGTTTTGTATGTCTGAGATATTTTCTACTTAAAGTTCATGAACACTTTAATAGTTCTATAATTTTCTTACATTAAAGTGCTTTCAGTTTTTCATTAAAATGTACCATGATAAACCAGGCATGTGGGCGTGTGTGGGTACTCCCAGATAGCTCTAGAGACTGAGATGGGAGGATTGCTTCAGCCCAGGAATTCAGGGCTAGCCTGGGCAATATAGTGAGACCCACTGTCTAGAAAAAAAAGTACCATGATAAAAATCTTTGTGTATGAATCATTGTTTGAATTATGGTGTTTATACTATTAGTGTATGTAAGGACATAGAATTTGGTCTATAGGTTTGTTTTTGCACATATAGAAATGAAACAACAATACATATATGTGTGTGTATATATATAGTTTGGTTTTAGTGGGATCATATGCCTCTCTCGCTGCTCCCTGACCCCAGTTCCACTATGTTTTTGTTATGTATTCTTCCAAGCTTTTTCCTGCTTATGAAACCATGCCTATGTGAGCATATAAATTCATTCACACATACATACTTTAGCACATTAATATAATTTTATACTTCTGTTTTATTGTTTTTCGTTACTAAATTGTATTCCATTGAGTTTATATCTTAGTTTATTAACTGACTCCCTGTTATTATTTGTTTCCACTTTTGTGTGATTAAACTCTGTAATTATGAAAGTATGAATTTTCCTCTTAGAAATGTAATAGTATTTAGTACATTTACTGAGTCCTCTCTATAATGACTATTTCCCACCTTCTTTCTCCTTAAATTTACAATCTGCTTTCCTTGATTGATGATCTTGCTTTGTACTTTACTGAGAAATAGGAAGAATCAAATGAAAATTCTCTTATTTTCCAATCATCAAATCTACAAAACTAGTATACATACTGTTTTTTCTTGTCTGTTAAGGATAAATTATTTGTTGTTTTATCTAAACATCTTGGACGCTCCTTGGAGGGTAGATCTCATTGATCCATCTTATCCACCCAAGGATTTTCCCCTTTAGGTTTTCCTTCTCTCTCCTGGATCAGCAGTTTCTCTTGATGGATCATTCACATCAGCATATAAACATGCTCCGGTAGCTCTAGTCTTCAAACAAAAAACTCTCCCTTTACTCCAATTCACCCTCTAGCCATTACCTTTTCTCTGTTCCAATATATAGCAAAATTCTTAAGATTTGTATGTACTCACCGCCTTTACTTCATTGACTCCCATTTTTCCCTCAGTCTACTCCATTCAGGTTTTCTTTTTTTCCTCCACTAAAAGTGCTCTTGTAAGGTTACCGATAATTTCTATGCGCCAGATAGAGTGGTCAGTTTCTAATTCTCATTAACATCTTGTCAGATTTGACACAGTTGGCTATTTCTTTTTTAAAAAATATTTCCTTCTTGGCCGGGCGCGGTGGCTCAGGCCTGTAATCCCAGCACTTTGGGAGGCCGAGACGGGCGGATCACGAAGTCAGGATATCGAGACCATCCTGGCTAACCTAGTGAAACCCTGTCTCTACTAAAAAATACAAAAAACTAGCCGGGCGAGGTGACGGGCACCTGTAGTCCCAGCTACTCGGGAGCCTGAGGCAGGAGAATGGTGTAAACCCGGGAGGCGGAGCTTGCAGTGAGCTGAGATCCGGCCACTGCACTCCGGCCTGGGTGACAGAGCGAGACTCCGTCTCAAAAAAAAAAAAAAAAAATTTCCTTCTTGGCTTTTGTGACACTATAATCTCATAGTTTTCTTCTTTCTCACTGGCTATACTTTAGTCTTTGTTGGGTCTAACTTTGCTTGATTTCCTTTTTTTTTTTTTGAGATGGGGTCTTGCTCTGTAGCCCAGGCTGGAGTGCAGTGTGGCATGATCTTGGCTCACCACAACCTCTGTCACCCGGGTTCAAACTATTCTTGTGCCTTAGCCTCCCGAGTAGCTGGGATTACAGGTGGTGCCACCACACCCAGCTAATTTTTGTATTTTTAGCAGAGACGGGGTTTCATCATGTTGGCCAGATGGGTCCCGACCTCCTCACCTCAGGTGATCCGCCTGCCTTAGTCTCCCAAAGTGCTGGGATTATAGGCTTGAGCCACCACACCCAACCTGCTTGATTTTCTAAAAGCCAATGTGACACAAGAGTTGGCCATCTTTGCATTAACCATCTTCCCTATCTCTCTTGGATGAGCTTATTCAGTCTAACGGCTTTAAGTACTGGTTATGTGCTGGTAACTCCCATATTTATATATTTGACCCTGACTTCTTTCCTTAGATCTAGACGTATATGTCTAGCTGTTTGTTTGGATATTTAATGGGCATCTCAAATTTAACATGTTCAAAACAGAACTCTCGATTCCTTGTACACACTTCCTGCCTGCATTCTCAGCTCTGTTACTACCTCAGTACCCGACCCCCACCAGTTTTGTAAATGATGTCATCATCCATACATAAGCAATTCTTACTTACCTTTCTAAAATATGTCAGAATTTGTCTACTTCATTCCATCGGCCACTGTGTTCCTGTTCCAAGCCACCATCATATTCCCTTTCAACTATTAGAATCGTCTCCTAACTTGTTTTCCTGCCCTCCTTCTTGAAGCTCTCTCTTTTTCACAGAGTAATCAGAGTTGTCTTTTTTAAATATTCATTCAAGAAGGAATGAGTTGTTCAAAATCTGGGAGGAAGACATTCTATTCAGTCTAGGTACAGAGTTACTGAGCATGGTTGATGTGTTCAAGGAATCACAAGGAAGAACAAGGGAAAGTGGTAGAAAGTGAAGTTAGAAGGATAAAAGGGACTAGATCCTGTAGGTCCTTGGATTCTAGTCTTATTTAAATAGGAATCTGTCTATTAGGAGATTTTGGGCCGGGAAAGGACATGATCTGATTTATGTTTTAAAGTGCTCAGTCTGGTTGCTGAGAGAAGACTATCTGTAGGTAGCAAAGGTAGGAGGGCAGAGACAAATCTTTAAGAGGATTTTGTGATGATACAGGTGAGAAATATAGGTGGCTTGATTAAGGGAGTGGTAGAATGGTGAGAATTGTTTGGATTTAGTATGTATTTTGAAAGTAGAACCAACAAATTAGCTAATGGTTTGGATAATGGTGTCTGAAAGAAGTAAAAGCATCACGCATTAACTCCAAAGTTTTTGACTTGAACAACCGGATAAAATAGTTTTGTCATTTACTGTAATAGGGGCACTGTGGAAAAAAGATTTGGGTGGATCTAGTTTAAACATGTGAATTAGGGATATGTGTTAAATATCTGAAGGAGATGTCCAGTTGGCAAACAAAAGTCATTCAGGAAGGAGATTAAGACTGGAGAAAGAAAATTAGGAATCATTAATGTATACAGGTAGTTCTACATAGTTAACTTTTAAAGCCTGATGAGATCAAATAGAGAGTGAATATGGAAAAGATATTCAAGACCTGAATCTAGAGCACTAGAGCTGACAAAGCCTTTAGAAATTGGGAAGAGTAGGAGAAGCTAGCAAAAGATAGTAAAAGAGCAATTAGTTAAGTAAGGAAAACTGAGAGGGTGGTGTCTTGGAAGACAAGAGAATAAAGTGCTATAAGGAGGAAATCATCAACTGTGTAAAATATGTTGATAGCTCAAGAAAGAAGAGGAGTGTTTGGATATGTGGAGTCCTTTGTTGCTCTTGACAAAACCAGTTCCAGTAATCAGAAAAGATAAGGAAGTGAAACAATTATTTTACAAATTTTGTTGTAAGTGGACACAGAGATAGGACAGTAGCTGAAGAGGTTTACAGGATAAAGGAAAGTTTTTTTGTTGTTGTGGTTTTGTTATGTTTTTAAAAGCAGGATATACTAGAGTATTTATAGACTGTTGGGAGTGACTCTGGACGGAAACATTGATGCAGGAGAGGGGATAATTACAGAGTACAATTCTTCGGTAGGCAAAAAGAGATAAGATCCATTGCCCAACTGGAGAGGATACCAGGAACATCACTGTTATGCATTGTAACAGGGTTGTTAGGCAGAGTATATGATTGGAAACTTTAGTAGTGAAAGAATGAATAAATTCTCTTTTGATTGCTTCTATATTCTCAATGAAAAAAGAATGAAGTTACTGGTTGAGATTGGCAGAAGGGGTTGATTGAGCCTAGAAAACATAGAGTAGTTTTTAACCTCAATGAGTAAATCGATTAAGGGAGGTGTTCTGGGATTACATGACAGTGTCAGGGGTTTTGTGAAAATTTAAAGAGAGACCAGCCAGTCATGATTATGTATGTTTTTTCAGTCTTGTTCAGCCCAAGCACTGAATAAGTTGGAAAGTTACGTTTATCCACAGTTGGGGATTTGGTAAATACAATGAAGATAATGAAAAGCAAGGAATTGAGTACTGATATGGTTTGGAGTTGTGTCCTTCCAAATCTCATGTTGAATTGTAACCCCCATTGTTGGAGGAGGGGCCTGGTGGGAGGAGGTTGAATCATGGGGGTGGATTTCCCTCTTGCAGTTCTTGTGATAGTGAGTGAGTTTTTATGAGATCTGGTTGTTTAAAAGTGTGTAGCACCTTCGCCTTCACTCTTTTCCTCCTGCTCTGGCCATGTAAGATGTGCCATCTTCACCTTCGCCTTCTGCCATGATTGTAAGTTTCCTGAAGCCTAGAAAAGCCAGTCATGCTTACTGTGCAGCCTGCAGAACCATGAGCCAATTAAACCTCTTTTCTTTATAAAT